TGGAGATTGAAGAAAGAGAGCGGCGTCGAGAAGAAGAAAGAAGAGGTCTGGATGACCCATTTTCAAGAAAGGTGGGTAATATCTGCTGGTTTGTTTTCTTTTTGACTGCTCCTTCTGTATGTTTTTGGAAGAAGATGTTAGGGTTGGTTGTTGGGTTAATTTCAAAAGCATTTAAGTAGATAACTGATGGAGTAGTGGATATGCAAGATCTTGCGCAACCTATGTATTTCCCCATATTGAAATATATATATATCTCACTGTAGCTATTGTTCATACACTTGCTCGTAAACTTCTTAGTGTGTTTGCATTTATCGTACCCTACTAGTAAAGTTTGTGGCACAAAGGGAACCATATTGGTTTTTAAACTCTGCCAGAAACAAGAAAGTTAGTCAGTAAAGACCATACTTAAGTTATTCAGACTCCTGGTAGTTCAGTATTCTCTGTGGTGTAACAAGTGAATTTTTAGTGATATGGTATGCTCTGACATGAGTAAATTATATATTGAAAATATTCCATTTTAAAGTATTAGGAGACAATGATCCTAATTTCTTTTGACATACAGGAATCTCGTTGGGGTGATAGGGAGTCTGAAAGCTCCTGGAGAAGAGGTGGTGAGGCAGAATCTGAATGGCGACGAGCACCAGTGGAAAGGTAATTGTTGGGTTACTAAGCACCAGTTATATTGGGCTCAAAACATGTAGACTCTCTTTTTATTGCTGCTGCTAAAGCTTCATTCACTGAGTAATGTCACATGCCTTTACATCTCTGAAAGTTGCCTTCTATTAAAAACTGTTTTGTAAGGATCTCAGAATGAGAGAGAGGTTTTATCTTGGAGCTGCTTCTTTTTTAAATTAAAAATTGCTGTCCTACTCAAACACTGCTGTCAATTGTGTAAATACAGAATGGGGAAGGATGACAAAGAAATGCAGGATTCCTAGATGATTAAACTGTTGGAGATTTTCCATTTAGAAAACTGAGAGTGGTATGTAAGAATAGAAAAGTTAAAATTCAGAGTCTTATACCATTCAAGTCCCAGAGTGAGTCACAGAGCAGAAAATGTGTGCCATAAACTGAAGCAAAGTTCTGAAAGACTGTAGTGAACAGAGAAGGAAGGATTTCTGAAGAAAGAATATTCTGAAGATACTTGCACTTAAGAAAAAAAAACAAACACACTTGTTCACATCTATATATTTTGGAGGCTTTGGATGTCTTCACTAATAGTGAAGACTGTTTATACAGTTGTAGAAAACAAGATCTTTAACATTTGTTCATCCTTCTGCTCCACAACAGGATGAGCTGTACCTAAAATATTTCTGATTGTGCATGCCTAGTTGTTCTTAAAAGCCTGTGCTGATGGAATTACCACTGCTTGTTCCAACTGGCTGTATGTGTTATTGCTTAATTAGCCTTCCAGGTAGATAGATGTTTATAAATGTCTAACCTTAATTTCCAGTGCAGCAATTTGAATCCCTTACAGCTTACTCTGACTCCAGTGGAAGCAAATTAATTTACTACTTCTCTGTCTAGTAATTTCTTCTAACTTGAAAAGTACAATCTTTCAATAAATAGAATAGTCTTTCAGTCTTTCCTTAAAAGCTGTGTTGCCATTCTGGGTAGTCATCCACTTTCTTGTGAATTGCAAAATCAGCAATTTGGATGAAACTACTGGGTGAAGCCTTGAAGTATTAACATATTGCAGAAGTGTTTAATGCATCCTGAGTGTAAATGGAAGCTAACAATCTCAATGTCTTGTTTATCTCACAGATAGGTAATTGCATTCTCCCTGTTCTTCCAAAAGTAGGAAATACACTGCTCACAATTGCTCTAAATTCCTGAGATGCGGAGTTGTCATAAACTGTTGCCTCTTTGTTCTCACCTCTTGGAGTCTTACATCTGTTGTTTTGTAGCAAGTCATTTCTGTTCTTTTGTTTAAATTTCTGTAGCGTAGTGGATTTCTAAACCTGTGGGAGTTTTTTTTGGTTGGTTTGTTGTGTTGTTTGTTTTGTTTTGTTTTGTGGGGTTGTTTTTGGTTTTTTTTTAATCCATGGGATTCAACTCCAGTGCAGTTTCTCTTGCCAAGAAGCAGGTGCCAGTGCGTATCTGTGATGTACTATTGCTTGTTTCTTTTTGTTGCTGAGGAACTAGCCTTGGAAGGTTTGTTTCCTGAAATAAAGAAATTGATCTGGTGACAAAGCCAAGGTTTATAGTCTAAAAATATGTGTAAAATCCTGTTGAAGTTAAACTAAATTCTGTGTCCAGAGCAGTGACAGGAGTGGAAGGCTCTAACCATTGTTACAGTGTTACAAATCCAAACATATTTCAAAGATGAACTGATGACTCAATAGCCCAGAGAAAACTCTCACCAAGTCTTTACTTCCCACATACATCCTAGTAAGGAGAACCTGTGCAAGAGCTGATAGCCTGCCAGAGCGCGGTGCACCCTGCTTGCCGTCACGGAGGAGAAGTGGATTGAGTCATGAGTTCACTACGTTGTCCTGCCGTACCTAGTTGTGGATGCTTGTCAGGGAAAGTATTGCCAGTCTGTTGGGCTGGAGCTGCGCTAAAGCATATGAAAACAGGGATTGGACTACAGTCCAATGTGTGAAGGAGATACTTACTGTATGGTTGTGGTTTTTTAATACTGGTTCTTTGAGATTTAACTGAAATTTGTTAGATGAGGCCTGGTGTAAAGCCAAACCTCTTCTCTGTTGTGTTGCAGCAGATAACCAACAGGGGACTGTAGTTATCCCCTTCAAACTGTAGTTTTGAAGGAGATAATAAACTCTTCAGTTTTTATTGAAGCTGTAGGGATGGTGACCTACCACTTTCCCGTGGCAATGAGGGCAATCAGAATGTGTGCATTTGAAAACTGCAAGCTCTGTAAATGTGTTTGCAACCACACATCAAGTGGATACATTCAGAAATGGCCTTGAGGGGTCTGATACTGTCAATCTAATATGTAAAGCTTTCCTGAATGTCAACTTCTACTTCTTGTTCATTCCCTGTGGTTCTGTAGAGATTGGCGTCGAGGAGAACCAAGAGATGATGAAAGATCTTTCCGACGAGGGGATGATCTGCCACGACGAGGGGATGACCTGCCCCGACGTGGTCCTGCGGAAGAAAAGGAACGTCCTTCTACAGAATCAACGGAGGAGAGGCCACCTAGACGTGAAGGGGATGAGGACAGGCCACCTAAACGTGAAGGAGATGAGGAGAGACCGCCCAGACGTGGATTGGATGAGGACAGGCCACCCAGGCGTGGTTTGGATGATGATAGAGGAAGCTGGCGGGCTGCAGACGACGACAGGGGTCCCAGACGTGGCATGGATGATGACAGGGGTCCCAGACGTGGCATGGATGATGATAGGCCACCCAGGCGCGCTTTGGATGATGACAGGCCACCCAGGCGTGGCTTGGACGATGACAGAGGCAGTTGGCGTGCAGCAGATGACGACAGAGGACCCAGGCGGGGGATGGACGACGACAGGCCACCCAGACGGGCTTTGGATGATGACAGACCACCTAGGCGTGGGCTGGATGATGACCGGGGCAGCTGGCGTGCTGCAGATGACGACAGAGGTCCCAGGCGTGGGATGGATGATGACAGAGGTCCCAGGCGGGGAATGGATGATGACAGAGGTCCCAGGCGAGGGATGGATGATGACAGGATGTCAAGGCGTGACGATGACAGGGGACCATGGCGTAGTGCTGATGATGACAGGCTCTCCAGACGAGATGATGACAGGGGTCCATGGCGTAGCGGTGATGATTCAAGGCCAGGTCCTTGGAGACCATTTGGGAAACCAGGTAAGATATAATAATATAATAATGTAACCTCCAAAGCGTGTGTTAACCTAGTACATAATAGATGTAATGTAGTTGCTGACAGAGATGGGAGAATCAACTCTGAAAACGTTTGGATAAATTTGGCTAATGTGGACACTCCTTTACTTAGTATAATTAAACCTTGTAATTTGGTTGAATTTTTAAAAAAAGTGAAGTAATGTCTGTTGTTTGCCTGGAAGATACTTAAAGGTGCTGGTAATTTACCTATATGCAAAACCAAAATATCCAAGTTGAATGCTCTGATGGGAGAGAAGCATTCTCACTAGGTTAGCA